CAAACGCTTTTAATAAACTGAAGAAAAGTTAAAGATATCATCAAGTAATAATAAGTTTGTTAATTACATTCGATTTCTACTTGTCAATTCTTTAACCCGTGTGCCTAGTTTAGGAAAAAGAAACTTCGTCTTCACCAGCGTTTCCCAGGCGAAAAAGATTAATCCTTTTACCTTGTTTATCAAAGAATACATTAGAATATTTACAAAACATACATAACAGCAGTGCTGCATGCCAAAGGGAGACACGTCTTGTGCAGCCACCATAAAATAAATTCGAAAAAAAGAGAAAAGGCGCGGCTTTACAGGCCAAGCCCATTTGTATTGGGTCCTCCAGGTAAGTCTACAGCAAAACGTCCCCAACGCCCCAACAAGTACCTTTCGATATCGATCGATAACGCAAAATACATTTCCAGAAAGCTCTCCGATGTCCCATACTTCTGAGAATTCTCTGGGATTTTTTGCCGCAGATAATTAATCCATCATGAGCTTTAAACCGTACTCAGACTGAATATCCTTACACGTTTTTGGATAAATTTAGCTTAGAAATAGCTTCGACATTTTTTTGCCCCCACGACTTATACTCCCACTTAACGGGCTGCCAGGGTTCAAATAGAGATTTGCATAGAGTCATTAATGTGTCAGTAGTTCCTGCAAATTTCTGCCACAAAGACACCCTGACCCGTCGCAAATACTTCTCGACATACACTTCAAGACACATGTTAAGTTTGCAATAGACATTCAGCTCCCGACGAGGCTGATTGGATGAGTTTAAGTCAGAAGGCCGGTCGGACACACAGACCGGACCGGGCCAGGCTACAGTGTCGCTCCGGCCTTCTTGAATGGTATGTGCAGCCAGCTTTATATCGATTTTCTCTGAGAATTATGTAGTGTACGGATCGAGAAGAAATACAATAGACCAGAATATTTTCATTTAATTTCTCATTCTCGGCCAAATCAAAATCTGCAAGTGGATTGTGTGAAGACCTATGGCCTTCTTCAAGCAGAGTGTGCGTTTATTGTTCCATAGAGCAGCAACGCGTTACCGATGGATCGACAAGCTAGGTTTCCCCTCTGCCTTGAGAGTGAAACCGTGGAGGCTCAGTGTTTAATTATATCTCCAGGTAAAAATGTCGTGGAGTAGTCAACACGATGAAAAGCCATGGAGAGTAGTGTTTAGTCCATCGTCTTCTTGGGTACGTTCGTTGCTATCGAGAAGTAAAGAAAGGAGAAGTGTTTTTCAGCTGGTGTTGTTGTCTCCCTGGTGACAGCCATCATCGGTCAATACCCGCCTGCCCCCTTCGTTCGCCTCCTATGTATGCGAGCCCGTCTGGCTAGCTGATAGGCATCTGTGAGACGGAGCTCCTAGCCTGAGAGAGACTTGCTTCCAGGCTCCATTCACGCGTAGGCGACGAATCCAACAATCGACTATGCGTGACTCGGAGAGATACACACATATACGTATGCAGGCGGAGTCTAGTGAAGTTTATAGAGTCTAAATTGAACCTCAGGTGAGCACAATCAGACAGAGCCGCCTATAGCATTGAAGGCTTGGACCCTGTGGTGACGACGTGTACGCTTGCTTCACAGCAATGATCAACATGAGCCTATTGAAGCCTGGCCTATAGGCTAAGCACTCTAGGTTTAAGTCTTTAGCACTAAGGCACAAGGCAAAACGTAATATATAAGACAATTCTAGGCACTGCGTCAGCATAATTCATTGGAGAGTTTGATGAAAAACTGTATTGTAAACGCAGAAATCACTCACTGAAAAGTAGAAATTCGAAAAAGCAACATAGTTATAACGTAAATTTTAAACTGACTATACAAATTTTACCAGAAATTCTATAGCATAATGTTCAGGCAATTCAGATGGTTGTCACTTCGGATGATAAGTTATTGAGTTCGGCCAAGCGTTAATCCTAATTGAGGATACATTTCATAATAATAAAATATGACAGTATCAGCTATACTGCTTTATGCTAGACTTAAATAATTTAGTTTGCCACAATTTCTCGGTGAGAGCATCCGATTATCTGATGTGAGCTAGACCTCCATATAGTGGGTAACATATCTGCCTGCAAATCTTACAGACAAATTGAGGTTCAGGTTCGAATCCGGGCATAGCTACCGTTTGTTTCGTACTGGAAGCCGGCCGTCTGTCTGATGGAATGCCTAACGGCGATTTCGGACGTAAAGCGTAGCCGAAAGATTTACACAGTAGTAATTCGTATGCATCGCTGGCCGGTTCAGTGTCGACGCAATGAGGGTGTTTCAGTAATGGCGGTAATGGTTCTTAAAGCTTTGAGCTCAAACGAGCCTTTCTTGATACGCTCTTTAAATGGATTCCCGGCAGTTATCGATTAGTTATTATCTGTCTGTATAAAAAAATATACCCTTTGAAGCATTTTATCTTTTCGGTATTTCCGTGTAAAATGCTGAAGGTGATAATTTTATATCAAAAACAATGAATTACTTAATGAAGTTCTTACAATTTTGCGAAATAAAGGTATTTACCTTTAATCACGAAGTACTATTTTCGCCGCAGCTTCTGGTTTTTTGACTATCCTAAAATGCCGAGGTTATGTAGTGTAGCACAAATAGAAAAATTTTTGACCACTCTTCAATCAAGGCCTTTTTCTAGAAAAAGGCCGCCATAATGCAAACCGGGTTTTACTGACGTATAAACCCGGCAAGGTGTGGTTTAATTAAAAAAATAATAAAAATTCCCCTAAAAAAGCTATTACCACTGGATACAATTGAATTAATCAGCAGTATGAAGTGTCTTCATTTAGCCTAAACTGTTAGTTGAAAACCTAATTTCGTAGTTACAACAGTGTACGTTAGATGGATAACACATTAGTCCACAGTATTTCATCGGTAGCTGGTCGTATTTTAAAACGTATCTGATTTAAGTTTCACGGAAACCCTTACTCACTGAGATTTAGTTCGAACACTAAATATTTATATAGATTGACTAGGACCGGTAACATTTAAAATATAAGTTTACCGTAGTACTTGGCTAAACCGTATATAACACATACACACAGTCTATCAACGAAAGCGCATCGGTTTTGTTTACCGTCTTCGCGACAAAGGAACGCCTATTTAATACTTCTTACAACGTTGACGGTCTATTTCATTTTGCGATTCTCAGGGTGGCCTTTCGGGGCTCACGATCAATCCTGCCTGTTTGTTTTCGTACAGCACTGTTACTGGCGCTCTTAAACCCAGACGTTTCCGCACAAAGTACGCAGTAAAATTCGATCCTATGATCTCGAAAGCCATTTCCATGAATCATTAGGAGGTCCTTGAAAATATCTCTTTTCGTTAGGCATCGTTGGTGAGGTGTTTGCTTGAGACGCGGCGTTACGAAACAAAAGCCTTTGTCGTCGTTGATTATATACCGCTGTAGAGGATCGCAATAAGCCCATCGACGGATTTTCGAGCGATAGATGACGACATATGAACGAAAATTCCACACATATGGTTTAATAGAGTTAGCAAAAGGAAAAGTATCCATTGTAGGACTACTTTCAAAATTTAACGTGCACTACGAACTAATGTATAATGCTGAATTAGCTATCAGTAATTTAATAAAAAAAATATACGCAGGGACTGCTAAAACTATAATGCTTTAGGCACGACATACGAAACGGAATGGACAATTAGACATTAAACAAATGACTATTTATTTGGACCTTACCGAGTTTTATTCCGTCTGAATATCACAGCTTAAGCTTTTATTGATCTTTACCACAGCGGAGCCTGCAGGCGGAGCCACCAGCGTCCGGCTGTTCAAAATAAATCACAAAAATTCATAGAAAAAGGACATATATGCACATTGGTAATATTAAACATGAAACTTAATTTTTTGTCTTCTGCGATTTTATCATGAAACTGTAACAAATTCGTTCCGAAGCCAACCTGATCGATACACTTATAGATACCGGAGCTCACAGATAGGGAGATTTCTTAATTTGCTTTTAAAAAACAGTGCCTTACTTCAATTTTTGAAGCGTGGCGAGGGGAGCCTCTAATGGGCATCGATTTCAAATTGATCAAACACAACCGGAAGGGAATAGAAGGACGAAGAAAGTTGTAGAATGTAACCTCTGTAAGAATGGCTCTGAAAAGAGGTGCTGCATGTATTTGTTTCTTAGATGACACTTACACAAATGCATGCACGGAGTATGTAAATATGATGATGACATTGTGCTGTGGGGGGGGGGGGGTGTTTAGGAGAAAGCTGACGAAGTTTTTGCATAGTCTAAGCCCAATTTAACTAGAATATGTTGGATCGTATCATAGATGTAAAACGCTTTTTAGTCTGAGGTTTATCTAGTTATTGACTGAATTAGTTTCTTAATTATCGATTCCAGCAAATTGCCACTAAAGCTGACCGCAATACTTTTGTCTACTTCCATAGAAACTATGGTAATTTAGCAAACTATATTTTCTTGTTTGTTTGATACCCTATATATGGATCCCCTGTTAGCGACATATTCCCTCCGAATATTCATATGTCTTCTTGAGTTGATTATACAGGGGGACACTCACGTAATTAATGAGATCTACATGTATATTGGAAGAAGCAACGTTCTTTCATACAGAAATAACAACGTATAAGATAAAGATGTTTTTTACTGTCGGTAGTGCAACGACACTGACATTGCTCAGCCAATCAATAAAAATTGAGGAACAGATTATTCTGATATTTCAGAGGGTAATTATTTGTTGAGGCCAGCACCAAAACATAATTGGTCATTTGAGATGGAATAGAAGTTTTCCAGAAAGAGATTCTGAATTAAATTTTAGCAGGGCAAAAGATCAAATATGATGTTTTTTTTTTACTCTGGTCAGGTAGAAACGTGCAGTGCTTAAATGCTTACATATCGAGGCCATGTCTTCGTTACCGCTGCTTCCAAGGTTGTATCTTCGAGAACTATCATATCCCATAATCACCTCACAAATGTTAATTTGGTATTTATTTTGTGGCACAGGTAACAATGGCCGAACGTGATGCGGCGGAACGGGCCGTAAAGGAGCCGAACCCGATTATTGATGGCCGAAAAGCTAATGTCAATCTTGCCTACCTTGGAGCCAAACCTCGCGCGAGCGTTCAGCAGCTCAATGGTATTATCGCGACTTCAAATAGTCTTCGACACCGGCTTGGGTCTGCTATTCATTGTTAATAATAGAATTAAAAACCTGTCGCCTCAAATAACATCCCGCCATCAATGAAATCTTCATTCTGATCTCCCGTACGATTGGAAGAAGCAGAATCGATTGTGTATTTTTCCAACCTTAGCATTGCGATCGGTTGTAGTGATTTCCATAAAGTCAAGCAAAGGTACCCTCTTCTCTAGAGACCTACAATTAATCTATAGTATTACATAGCCTCAGTAGATGAAGCTTGAAGGATACTTACATCATCTGTGGCTACCTGATGGCTGAGTATCATCAGAGATGGACCGACATTTAATGAGCTTATATGAAAAATATCGTATAGGGCTGAGACTAAGCCCTCGGTGATCAAATCAATTCTTTTGCTTTCCTGAACATCTCCGAAGTACTTAATGTATATTTTGTTCTTGTTAAAGACTTCTATTATACTGGGAACTCGTAATCCTATCATTTAGGAGCGTACTGAACGACAAGACCAGAAACCTATAGAACTGATTAAAAAAAATTAAAAAGCTACGTATTACATAACTATAGAAGCTTCTTGACTAGACTTTGCAGCAACTCACGGACTACGATTGTACTGACTTCGATCTATGATAAACCAAACTGGATGCATATAGTGCGTATTGCTTTTATAGAAAAATACAAGTATTATATAAATAACCCGTGAGTTAGCAACCTGTACTTCCATTATTGATTTTTGTTTTTTGCCTAATTTATAAACGGGCTTGTTTCCTTTGTTGCGGTCTTTGTTTTAATGTCGATTTCTGCCGCTGTCGTTGTTATGTCACTGCTGGTTCCAACTATAGCAGGCCTAATTACAGATCTGTTCACTGGCTTCCCGATCTGTCCCACGACGGCTGCACTACGGGCAGCGTCTGCATACCCAGCAGCCGCGCTTCTTCAGGCCGCGGCGGCCCAACAGTACACCACAGCGGCCGCTAGGTAAGTTAGTATAACAAAAGCATTCAACTTACACAATTCGTATTCTTAACATAGGCAATACAGGTGAAACGAAAAAAGCATCTTCTGCTATGCGCCGATCTTAATTCGCGAAATTTAATGAACTGTGTCCGTATAAACAACAGACTATCAGCTGTTGCTTTCCTTGCTCTTGGTAATGCGTTGTAGTTCAGCATACGGTCAATCAGAGTGACAAACAATTGTGTTACTGTAGCTATCGTCCGTTTAGAATTATGCGTATGCGAAGATCAGTCAGTATATGAGATATCTGCCAGCAAAGCGTTTGCCATTGTCCGAGTGTTCTTCTATATGCATAACTGCATCTTGATTACTTTCCTACGCAGTCATCAAACTGATGAAGCTTCCACTTCCACTAAACACTAAACACTTACACTTCATTCGTCGGTTAAATGTATCTTCGTTATTCTGTTATTCCCACAGTGTGAATCCGTACTTGTACCAGCCATACCTCGCTGCAGCTGCCGCGGCCAATCCCGCCGCAACCTTGAACGCAGCCCAAACGGCGGCCCAAGCAGCGGCCCAAGTAGCAGCTTTGCATAGTCTACAGAATCCTTCGGGCGCGGTAGCTTCGTCAATCACAGGGCCCCAGGGCACGACGGCCGCTCAGCCGGGTCAGGCGTCGTCAGCATCGGGTACGAGCGAATTCTATCTTTTCAATTTCTGTAGCTTAATGATGACCTGTACAGTTTATCAATATTTGATGAGCCATTGCGTAGTTTTCAGTTAAACTAAAGTCTCCGCACATTATACATCGAAATGACCCAATTCGAAGAACCGTCTAAATTCTCCGAAAATAAATTTACCGTAAAGTTCGAATTTTCAGCTGTTCCGGGTAGTGGCCAGGCCCCCTCATACTACGATTACCAAGCGGCTCAGTTAGGAGGTGCAGCAGAGGGCTACCCAACGTACTATTACTTATAAATGTTTTCATGGGATTTACGTCAGCACTGATCGGATCAGACGGAAGCCGTCCAGCCACCTGAAGCTGGTCAGAAGCTTCTCTAAATCATGCGAAAAAGTCGCCATTAGTCCCTGCGTAATTGAATTATAGTAGGAACGGATGTCAAGCCGAAATCTGGGGGTTTGTCCGCTATTCTCCACATATCACTTCGCAGTGTCCGTCGCGTGCTGTCGAAGCTTCTGAAAGCTGGCGCGGTACTTCCTAGGATCGCGCAGATGAGCTACCATAGGGATAGCTGCAAGTCATAAAGCGTCGTCTTACGTGACCTATTGCAATCCTATCGGATTGGTATTATAAAGGCAGGCAGGGTCACGGCAGTGCTCTACACTCCATATACCAACATCCTGTTCTTGCGTAGCGTCTCAACGAAATCAAAAGGCGAAAGCTTTGACAAATCGCCGAGAAATGAGCTCAGCGTCAAGCCACATTTCTATCACACATCGATTGGTCCACATTGGTGCCAGAAAATCATCTATAATCGCACTATATTGCGAATATCGTCCACACGATTATTTCAACTATTATTAAATAATTTTGTTCGTTCACTAAAGAAAATGCTAAAGTTCAGCATAATAGTAATTGCTGTAAAATGGGATGTGTGCTCGAATTTGACATTGGTCGAAGTTTATTTGGTAGAGTGCACATCTCAACTGTTCGTTTACTGCAGCAATTGTAAGAATATTTACCCGTAAATAAAAAGGCAGACCTCGAGGCGAGACCTGGCACCTTGAAAGATATACGATGCCGCTAGTACTAACGGCTTAACTACGGCAGTCTTCAAGAAGAAAGGTATTCATATAGATAGATGCCGGCCGTAAATTATAAAGTAAACTAGTTAATTTTTTAATGCAGATAAAACGTGATGAATTGACGTAAGTTATAAGCTGTACACGGCTGCTGCATAGAAAATTATTTTTTAGCTAGAACCTGGAGGAAATACTATGGCTACCATTGACCGTAGGCTAAACAGAGTTGAAAAAGAAAAACTGTATTTGCTAGAAACTATACGATAAAATATATTAGCTATCTTCCTCAAACACGATCTAGTTTATAGTATAAATTCTTGCCAATGACCGGATTGTAAGTCAACCCAATCATTGATGGCCTTCTCTGGTAATAGCAAACGACGAATGATATCAACAGCGGACTCCTGGCAACCTTGTCAAGCATGAATCATAAAACTAAACGAAAATTGTAACGACGGAATACGCAATAGCCTATAAAAAAATCTGTCAGAGTCCCGAGCTGGTTCGCACGGTGCTTGCTTCAGCCCTACAGAGACACAATCGATCAACATTGGGAAGGGCATACGGAAATGTGCGTTTTTACTCCAGATTCATACGATATATAAAGATGAATTGATGGAACGGTTTCTGGGTAGGCCTCAGACGGCGGCCTATGGCATAGCAGTTGCTGGATGATATATTATTACTACAAGCTGTTACTTAAGTCTATGCTATACGATGAAAGCAGTGTATTTAGTAAAAATAAAAAAAAAGGTAGTTAAACCAACAAATATACTATTATTTATACACAAAATAGAAAAAAAAGACGTGCAAACCAATGACGTGCTCTAGTCACTTTAGAGAAGAGTCAAATTAGACGGCAATTGCCGCCCTAACGCTGTACCTCGTCAACGTATCGAAACGTGCATTGAAGGAGTTCATTAAGGAGCCTAGAACCGATACAGGCGCTGATAACAATTTTTTAGGAACAACAAGACACGTACAACGATATAGGCTGTTGGAATGCTGCTAATATTTCGAAGATTTAACATAATGGGTTCTCGTAACGTATTCTGAGACGAAGCAATAAGGCAAGTTATGGCTGTAAACATCACTATTCATAGAAACAGAGCCAATACTTAGCCTATTATAGAGAATTTTCATAACCAGTTGGCGTCTATAGGTATACTGTTAACAAACATAAACCTCAATGTGTCCTAGAAAACGTTTCCCGTTGAAGAAGCGGCTACATTTCGCGAATACTCACTGACACTAATTGATGGTTATGCGGACTCGAAAACAGAAACTCGGTTGGGCGCCCTGTGGTGCTGCTAAGAAATATGGAGGCAAAGCATTACAGAAAGAACATCCGTTCCAAATAAACGAGCAAGTAAGCGAGTGAAATGGTCGATACATCTAGGGAATTCGATCCATTTAGGGGCCTGTAATCAGAAAGGATGATTTTAGAACCGGCAGGTAGCTCCACGAAGATATCTGACAACTAGATTTTTTCGTTATGTAATTATCAAGCTTATGCTGCGCTATACAGCCGCTGAACCCATACGGCTAAGAAGGAAATCATGTCGTCGCTATAGCCGTAACTATAAAATTTTAAACCAATTATTGAGATGCGAATGGAGGAAGAATAAACCTCCTGTCCAGGTAGCGATAGTAATATCAAAGCATTTGATTAAGGTTAGCTCGATAGCTTATTAAATCGTTAGGACGAGTCAGCACACGTCAATAGCGGAAGGTTCCATTAAAGACTGACAGTGGAGACATGTCATTGCTGATGATACGTGAAAGATGTCCTGTTTTAGGCATTGTGCTTATGCGCCTAATTGGGAATTTCTTAGGACTAGCTATTTGCTATGGAGTACACGTTTTGTAGCAATACACGAACATTTCGCTCACCTTACATTTCAAGCCGTTCATTATAACTAAATGCTTATTTCTGTGCTGATACCCTTACTCGAAATCACTGATCCAGCGCTGTAACTCAACCCAAAATCTGCCACCATATCCGGCATCGTTTAATTTGTAACTAATACGAACCTGTAATCCGTCACTGAACCCTTAGCAACAGGCTGACGTTCGTCTACTCACTCTCCATCTAACACAAAACAGGGTAGCCGTGTCTTAACGTAGAGAACCTAGCGAAAAATGTCCGGCCTTTTATACCTGTAAGGTTTCATGTATGTGAGTTCCGCTAGTGATGAGTGAAACGCGCTTCACAGGCTCTAGGGCAGTTTCCAAGCATCAAAATTATTAGGCCTTAGTAAATTGTATTTCTCCCCTTCTATGGCCCGATAAAAACGTGCAGATAGCAAAAAAATGCCACAGCTTTTGCCACTGGCAAAATTAAGTCCTTGCTTGTTATCTACACGCTGTTTTCTGTGTCAAAATGTTTTCTCTATTTAAGATTCCATTGCTGCCCTATGATCTATAACAGTGAAAGCTGTTGGTAGGCGTTTGAAATTCACAGAAAAATGAGTAAAATATAGACGATACGGCAAGACGCACTGTTGTTATTGCACGACAAACAGGATGCAATCTGTTGTCCACCGCTGATTATTACTGATACAATGTATCTAATACGAAACCGGCACGCGCGTGGTGCACGAAGTACATGGGATCACGTATAGCTCCGGTGTGCACAAAGCTCTATCAATGTTTAAAACCCATTGTCACGTTAGAGTGAAAATGGGGCATGAAAAATGCTTCAGTTACATGTAACTACATGTTTCAAAACATGATCGGTTCGGCCGAGCGAAAGGCGAACGAAAAACGTAGACCACACACGAGCGTCTGTCAGTGCTTCGTATGGCCAATGAATGTAGGTATCTTCCAGAACACATTTATGCAACTTCAACGAAATATATCTGAAGAGCAGCATTTCTTCAGATGATACAACGACGAATAAAGAAAAAGTCCAGTAAAAATGCTGTACAAATATAAAATATGAGATTGCCAAGTAAACAAATCACAGTAAAAACATAATCTGTCTCGTATCCCGGTAATCGTCGCATATAGAAAAGCTCAGATCGAACGAGAAGCTGACTCAAACTTGTTATAGGGACAATATAGCAACTAACAAAAAATAAGAGACGGGAAGACAGACACTAACGCTATGTAAAAACGTCAAGTTTAAAGCAATAACCATCTATACGAAAAATTCTGCTAAAGTAATGAGACCTGATCCAGTCACTGGTCGGCAGAATTCACCAAACATCTATTCGAAGATTATGAGTTTGACTTGTTCTCGTTTTCTACATTTATATATTAAACCCATCTCAACGAATTATCACTATCTCTTTCATTACTACTCAGTGCTTAGGGGTGTAATTCCAGATTATAATTACTATGGAGGTTGTGATTAGAGTTGGTAACGAGCAAAGAACTAATTATAAACCTGTAATTATAATAATGTCATAGACTGTCAAGCATGGAACTGCTGCATTAGCATCAAAACAGACTACAATAAATACGACTTGACAAAAAAAGAGTATGAAATATAATTAATATTGTAACACAGATAAGAACATAGACAAATGTTTACGGTGATGTGGAAACGAGGAAAAGTTCAGCATATA